AAATATTAGTAAGTAAATAAACATGATGAAAGCAAAGCGGGAAAGATATTTGGGCCCAAGTATGGTTTTTTTTTTCTGTCCGCCTGGACCAGTACTTGGACCCATTTTTCGTTTTGGGCCTTTGGCCAATTAGAATCACCTGCACCTGTCCTATACTAACGTAAAATATATATTTTTCTTTGGGCCTTAGGCCCAATTTTTCACCTGTCCTAGGCTTCTAACAAAAATAAGAATAGCGACTAAATGGGCTTAGGCCCAATAGATAACAAAATACAATTTGAAATTAAAAGTAGGTCTTTGGCCCAATCTTTCAATTCGCTAATCTGCTCCAACATTTTTTCGACTCCGGGACCTGTACGCCCTTTTTGGGACTTATTCCTTCATTTCTACGGCGGGCTGACTCAACAAGGGCAAGTTTGGGCCTCCATGGCCCAAAAGGAAAATGCAAGGAATGGAGATAGAGCCCATGATGGATCGAGTAGATTTACGCATGCAAGAGAAGGACAAAAAAAAAAAAAAAACGAATTGATAAGTATTTGAAGGAAGCTTAAGAAATCTAAGCAAGATTAAACAAGTATAAAAGTGTAATGCACTTAGACTAGTAATGCTGACGGAAGGAAGTTAAAGGAGATAAAAAAAAAATACATTTAGACATCTAAACAAACCAATTTTTATTTTTTTTATTTTTTTTAAAAAAAAGTTGTACTCTTATTTTCCATTTTAATCCAATGCATTATACATACTTTCAAATAGATTTAGAAGACAAGCCAGGAAAGAAACGCTACCATAGCACACAAAAATGAAAAGAATCTTAAGCCAACTTAGCATACATAAAATAAACGAGTTCGATGAAATGTCATACGCAAAAATAAAAAAAAATAAAAATATGACCAACTAGTTTATGCAGCGAAATTAGAGATGAACTATATTGAAGATTAATTCAATTTTGGGGAATATGATAACTATCCCAACGAAATGAAACTAGCATTCAATCTCTTAAAATTAGCTAAGACAAAGCAATCTTATATTTTAAACAAATTAATCACACAAAAGGACCACACTCCCACTGAATTAATATTCAAACACTATACTGACTATCATACACTAAGTTCAAATCTCACAATAAATAAAGTAGAATAAACTATATGTTTAAGCCACACCAATATGAACCTCATGAAAGACCGAAACAAGACAAAGATAAGGGAAGCTTGCCAAGGAGTTTGCACTTGAACATCAAGATAGGCATTTTTCAGGTAAAATTTTACTCAAAAGGGAGACACATGTATGAACAAAACAAGGCATGCTAGGCAGTAACATGCTCCAAAGGCAACCAAAAGAACAACAAATAGTAACAAACCATTATAATAAGAACGCAACTACAGCATATATGACTAGCTAGACCAAAGTATTTTGAGAACGTAAGTCTATGCAAATAATGACTCCATACCAATAACAATACACTAAAAAAGGGGCCTCCCCTAATATTAAAACACAATAAAAACACAACATTATAGCCTCAGTGACATCAAACAGTAGCTTTGACAGGAAGAACGACGAGTCAAATCCCAAATAGAGTAACAGAGAAATATCGATGCAGGATGTGAACATATAAAACTTTGACTCGGCCACATAATGGAATCACATAGGAACAATATATCACATTGAAGCTTTTAGCTAATCAACGATGATTAATAACAAATAGCTATATAACAAAGCTTTTTCAACATTGAAAAATATCACATCGAGATGGAAGCAGAGGTGAGGAGAACGCTGAAAAGGAAAAAGTATTACCTTCTTAGGGGCAGCGAACTGAGAAAACGAGCAGGATGAGAGCTTTCCGAAGCCACAAAATTAGCTCTAACAAACTCTAAGTCGTGAATGACAAAGTAGACTCCAGAGAAATCCAACCCTGAACCGCTGTATTCTATTAAGCTATTCTTATATTTTGCTAAAAGAACTTTTCCAACTGAAAAAATCTCCCTCTTTTCCAACGTTCCTTTTTAAAAAAAAAATATCCTCCCCCTCTGAATAGTGAATGAGCAACTATATATGGAAGGGAAATTAGGGTAGATTGAATGGAGGGAAAACGAGTGAAATCCGGACAGAAAACACCTAATTCAAAAATCAAACTCCCAAAATTCCTTTCACCATTTAAGCTCTAGACACCCTTTTTCTGAAAATTTTGTCCCATTCCGGAAGAGGAAATGGAGCAGACGCATACTCTGTCCCGCTGTTGCGTGTGTCAACGCGTTTGGGACTGCTGCTGTACGTTTTCTGGTCACTTTTGGCGTGAAGAAGAAGGGCAACAGGGGTCGGCTAGTACTGTTGTCCTCACTGTATTGTTTGGATTGTTATATTGTATTGTTATGACTTGCTTGGGCCGGGTAAAGGGGAAAAGATGGGCTGGATCGGCTGTTGCTGCTGCTGGAAATTGAAGTTGTATGTAATGTGTGGGTGGGTTTTGGCATAAAGGAATTAAAGAGGGAATTGGGCTGAAATAAGGTATAAAGTGTGGGCTGGGAGGTTGTTGGAAATTTGAAAATTGGAATGGGTTCAAGAATAAAAGGGAGGTTGGGTTTTTGTATATAGGAATAAGGGCTGCTGGGAATTATTGAATGAAGGGCCCAAAGATAAAGTCTTTTGGTGGGTTTAAAATAAGATATAGCTAAGTGAATTAATAATTTAGCCAAATCGAATTTAGTTTATAAATTTGGCTAAAATCTAATTAAGATGAATTAATATAATTAATTTAGGAACTTCTCAATCGTAACGAAACAAAATGATTAACTTAGTTATAAAATAATTGATTTGAATACAAGCTAATTACTTCAAAATTTAAGACTACAATTCCAACCAAAACTAAATTATCAAAATACTTATTTTAACCACGTAGAAATCTCTTGATATGATTTTCAAATATTTTTGAAATATATACTAATTATATACAAAATTATATAAAACATATATATTACTTAAAAATTATAAGAATGAAAAAATTAGTTAAAAATAACTTGAAAATATTTTGAACTTTATAAAAATTTATTATTTCAAATCGTTTGAAATTTAAGAAGCTCGAAATTAATTATTATCGGGGAGGGTCGAAATTGGGTGTCAACATTGGTGATTATCGGTTTCGATTTGATTTGATTCAGTTATTTGGTTATTAACCATACACAAAAATTAAAAAAAACAATTCATTCAAAATGTGAAAAAAGTGACAACAATCCATTCAAAACGAAAAATAGTTAGAATGACTTAAATTACTGAACTTTCGATCACTAAATTTACTATCAATAAAGCTTTAAAATTCACTATATTGGTCTAAAAGGAAGAGACAATAACATTTTCAATCCCACAAAAAATTGCCAATTTGCCATAGACACTTATATACATGAAATCAATAAGATAAATGTTTCATCTTTGACATTTTTTCTTTTAATAAGTAAATTATAAAGAAATTTTAATGAAAATATGTATAAGATCTTTAAAATTGTTTATAAAAATAATATATTAAGTATGTATATTAATAAAATATATGTATATAATTAATCGGTTCGATTCGGTTATTTCTTCGGCTTTTTCTAATAAAACCATAACCAAACCAAATACTATCGGTTTTCAAAAATCTAAAACCAAACCAAACCAAACCCAAATTAAATCGGTTTTATTTTATCGGTTTGGTTCGATTTTTCGGTTTGGATCGATTTTAATCCAAACCGTGAACACCCCTAAGTATGATCGAAAATTCATGTGTAAAGTTTGAACTGATTTACATATTGAGTGCATATAATTATACCACATGAGATATGAAAAAGTTATGAATTTCATGAACTATAGATACAATATAATTAATACAAAATGTCATATACTAATTTAACTTCTCTCAATGAGATTATTAACTTCAGAAAGCTCCACTAATTTCCCCCTTTTTTCAGCCTTGTCCTTTAAATCATCAAGATAATGTTGATACATATATGACACAAATCCCCAAATTGCCAACACCATTGACATCACTTTAATACCACTCAACTTGTCATGAAGAAATATCACAGCCAAAACAGGAGCCACAGGCAAACCTAATATACTAATTACATTTGAAAATAATGAAGACACTTTAAAAATTAACCCTACTGAACCAACTGTATAAAATTGCCAACAAATAGATGTCCCAATTAAGTTTAAAACATAACTAATTTTCCCTAATTCATATTCATTCATTTCTTTCACTAACTTTTTCCACTCCCCGCTAGCGAAAAGCCCTATTAATAATACCATAGTCGCACTTATCGACTGATAAGTTGACATTTCTATGATCAAACGAAAGCTTTCTTTCTTAAAGACTTTTTGAAGAGCGAGTTGTGTTATAGAAAGCATCAACGCGTAGCCAGCAGAGGCAGCTAATGTAGACAAAAATCCGAATATATATTTTTGTCTAGATGTTTTATTATTGGTACGTTCACTAGAATCGTCGTTGTGGAGAACTAGGAGAGAAGAGGAGATAGTGAGAATTACTAATGAGTTTACTATATAAGGGGTGAATTTTTGTTTATTTAGGAAGTATGAAAAAATGGCATTGAAACCTAATTGACTAGCACAAATAAGTGAATAAGTTGTAACAGGAAGATATTGTAGACCTATAGTGTATAACATACAATTTCCAGCTATAAATAAACCTAGTATAGTATAAAGTGAAGAAACAATTATAAAAGAGGGTTTTTTAATTATTTCAATATTTTTATTAGTTTTTTTTGGTTTTATAAAAAGGAAAGGGATGAGAATTGGGAAGGCTATAGTTTGTACTAATGTGGCTAACCATTTACTATTTCCACCTTTTTCAAAATATATTCTACCTAAAAGTGTACCTATAGCTTGGGTAGATAGAACTAATGTTGAATAAATGATCATTTGGATCCACCATTTATAATGTACCAAAGTTGGACCGTTTAATTGAGATTCATTTTGAGAGATGATTTCTTCCCTTTTAACTTCTTCACCTGCTTCAAATAAGATTTCATAATTAGTGATCAAGTAGATAAAACAAAGTACTAGTACTATAATCAGAGGTGGAGCCAAAATTTTAATATGGCTAGTTCAAAGATTAATAATTGAGTTCTAAACTTATTTATACATAATGAATTTCTTGTCACAAATATATTATTTAAGTAAAATCTAATGGCTGGACTTCTAGATTCGTCCCTAATTATATTATCAATTTTTACTCTTTTGTGCAGGTGGTTTATTTCATATATGGTCTATATATAGACCTTGTATAAGCATAATACATAAATATGTCTTTTAACATAAATTCAGCTGACATTTATGTCCTTCAACTTTGGGTGTCCATAAATAGACACATAAATTTGTATAAAATTGAACAGGAGACACACTCATCACGTAAGACGAATGTGTCTATTTTTTCAATTTTATACAAGTTTAATATCAACTTGTGCACATCCAAAATTAGAGAAGGACACATTTATGTATTATCCCTTTATTATAATTGAAAAATCACAAAAATTTGCCACATTAAAGTTATTTAACTTTACCCCGTTATATTTGTGAAGTGGTGAAATATTATTATTTTTCACATTAAAATAACTCAATTCTGTGTGATTTTTAAATGAACTATATTACACTAAACTGATTGAACCTCACCAAAATGTTGAACATTGTCTATTAGAACAAAAAAATGAAAGAACTCTATTTTGTCAAAGTAAAATTACGAAGGTGCGTACTTATCCTAGTTAAGAAATAATATACGATAATACCAATGTTGAGAATTAGGGTAAAAGAGTAGTAGGTAATCGACTGTTGCGGTATTTTTATGTTGAGAGGCAGGGGATTAATAGTTCTATTTAGTACTCATAGTATTTTATTCTACAACTTTTATTATTATTATTTATTATTTTATTTTATTTGTTTATCTTGTTATTTTATTATCGTTATTTTCCTTTCTATCCTGTTTTGGGGTTCCACTTCTTTTGAGTCAAAGAATCTATCGAAAACAATCTCCTAATCTCACAATAAAGATAAGAATAAGATCTGTATATATCATACGTACCCTCATATCCCACTTATGAGATTATTAATAGAAACGAAGAAGAGATGAGATTGAAACTTTACTTATTAGATCTTAAACACTGCATTAAACAATAACTATGTCTATATTAACAAATCTCCATATATAATATACTTTTCTTCTGCCAAATTTTTTCTTGATGCATATATTTAAATTAAAACATAAAAATAACTCCTAACACATAAATAAACAATTAGTCAAATAAATAACGACTGGTAACCAATATAGATAACTTGTGCTTATATATTTTATCTTTTTTGCACCCAAAAAATTAAAATAAATTATCTTCACAAGCTTGTCAAAATTTTCTTCTAAAATAAGTCCATAAAAGACCATCATACAAATTACACAGTATGTTATTATTGTTATTGTTGAAGTTAACTCATTAAAATAGTAAAAACGCAAAATATTATTTCATCAGATTAAAATAACTCAACTATATATGTGATAACTATTATAAATTAACTTTACCCTATAACAGTAAAGTCACAAATGTTCTCTACTTTAGCACTATTTTTAGTAAATAGATATATACTTTTGCCTTTTGTACTGCCCTGAAATCTATATCTCCAAATAATTATATATAGAAAATATTACATAAATAGACAACTTAAGATATCATAATCTTTAAAATTTTCTATTAGTTAAAAAAATTACAAAAATTCCCTCACGATACATCCCTATCCTCTTTCGAATACATCCTTAGTTAGCCTTTCCCCTTTCGAATACATCCTTAGTTAGCCTTTCCCCTTTCGAATACATCCTTAGTTAGCCTTTCCCCTTTCGAATACATCCTTAGTTAGCCTTTCCCCTTTCGAATACATCCTTAGTTAGCCTTTCCCCTTTCGAATACATCCTTAGTTAGCCTTTCCCCTTTCGAATACATTCCTCCCCTCTCAGATACATCCATGAGCTATGTATCCGCAGGTTGCTTAATTTATCCGAAATCCTATGGTTTTTAAGAAATTTTTATAATTTAAAAAAGATTAGAGATATAATATAATTAGTTCTTTTAAGAGAATAAGATTTATGTAATATAGAAGCTCACCTTGTACTAGTGATTGCTCTACTGCTGAAGAATCCCCCATCTCATACACTTGGTAAAAAGAAAGAAAGAAAGAATTCTTGTTGAAAATAAATCAAGTGAGAAACTTAATAAGTAGTAAGTAGTATTTATAATATAATTTTTAAAGGAAGCTTTATCCATGAGATGGTGCACAATGAACGGTTGGCAATCATTTTTATTTGTTTATTATTTTAAATTTTTTATTTTATTTTAATTTATTACTTTATATTAATAAATCAATAATTTTTTATTTTTTATTTTTATCCTCAATTATAATTACATATTCTTCAAATCAATTCTCATGATCTAAAACTATACATTAATTAATAAAAGTATTATAATGAAATAAATATATTTTTAATTATTTTTTAGGAACGTACAAGTTCAAAATAAATAAATAAAAACGAACAAACAGAGAGTTTTCAGATATTCATGAATTGTTATTCATAGCAATAATTTGTTGTTTTGGGGCCCAAGTTTTGACACATGATGAATAAATGTATAAATTATAAAAACGTGTCCTCTCTAAATTTGGCAGTAATGCCTCGTTTCGGGGTCCATCCAGCTGGGTAGTACGTAATTACAATATTAGGGATGTGTAAAAATTAAATTGATCGATAAATCGAATAAAAAAAATGTTATTGATTTATTGCAATTGGGTTATTGAGTTAACGGGTTTTTGATGGTTTTATCGGAAAAAAATTATTGAGTTATCGATTTAATTTTGGTTTTTAATATTGAGTTATTGCGTAAGTCGATAACTGATTAAAACTGTAGTAATTTACTACTTTACCCTACATAAATCTTAAATATTTATCTCATTAACTTACCACTTACTGTCTTTTTTCCTTAGCGTTCAATTCATACTTTACAATAACATTGAGTTCATAATTACACATTATACAAAACGTCAAATACATAAAGTAAAAACCTTATTCCTCTTATTTCTCTTTGTTTTATACTTGTATAGTTTTTTCATATTAGTTATTATTGTTTTTATTTTATGAGTATTCTGTAAAATTACATTATTGTTTTGTCGCGTTAAATTATTGGAGAAGTCATGTATTTGTTTTATAAGCATTTTCTTATTGGTTAAACTAAAAATCAAACTCCTTAAAAACCAAAATCGACAAACCGAAAATCAATAAAAATATCTTATTAGTTTATCATATTTAAAAATTACAAATCTATAAATCAAATCGATAATATATAAAATCGGACTGAATCCATCAATACACACCCCTAATAAATATGTTTAGGACCCTACAATTAATAGAGATAAATTAGTACATTTATTAGACTAATTTTTTTAATAGGTGTGTCAAGTTGAAATTTGATAAATAAATTCGAATAGAGAGAGTAATATGGTGCGCTATAAATTAAAAACAACGTAGTAAAAAACATAAATGTAACACCACTCTCAGTCTCCTACCTATTAGTGTCGAGTCAGAAATTATACTTTATTATTATTTTTTTTGGTTTTTTTTTATTAATTATTTTTTCTTTTGTTAACTCTATTCTACAGTAATTAATTATTTTAAAATTCTAATAATTATATCTTCTTCATCACTAAATTTGATCTACTTTATCCATCTCACTAGAAAATTTATGTTTGGACACCTTCACTATTGATTTCTGTTTTTTACTGTTGCTACATCATAACTTCAAATTCTTTCAAAGATGAGCAGAAAAAAAATGATTTATTATTATTTTATGAATTGTTTCTATTAATCTTACAGAAAATTAATCTAATTGCGAATTAAAAGAAAGTTGTGCTTTGATTGTGATATAAGGAGAGTGAAGTGTCAAAAACACGTTTGAAATGTTTCTTTTTTTGAGTTTCTTATCTAAATTATTGGGAGTGTGAGTTTCATATCTAAATGATCACTTATTTTATGTGGCATAGTTTGATTTGATATAATGTTTAAAAATAAAGGAAGATTTTATAAACTTGTGGTCTAAAATAATTTTTAGATATATTTTTGACGGTAAATTATGCTATCGTGGATAAAAAGAGAATTTTAAAATTAAATTCTTTTAAATATAATAAGATGACATTTTTTAGACCGATTAAAAATGAAAAAAGTATCACATAAAATGAACCGAGAAAATAATATTTTAGGAATAATGGAAAAAAGAAGGGAGATTTTTATTTCATATTATGAATAGAGAGAATATAGGATTGTAAATCAGACAAACAAATGACTTAGAAATTATATAAATTACAAGACATAATAAAATAAAATAATGACAAATAAAAAAAATAAAATTATAGGAGTTATAAGGAAAATTTTAACCATTAATTAACGTGAGTCAATATGCACATAATGTCCCACGAATTAATGGCAAATGTTGCACAATATAAAATGTCACTTGATCCAACAATTCTTTATATTTTAATATTAAGCATTTTGACATTGTCAAGTATCAATTATAAAATGTCACTTAATCCAACAATTCTTTATATTTTCATATTAAGATCAAAGAGAGTGGAAATAAGATTATTATGCCTGATGAAGTTGTGTTCTGTGTTTTTAGTGAAATAAGAATTTATACTTCAAAATCTCAGTGGTCTCGTACATGAATTATGATCGCTTAATAGGAATAAATTATCATTACTTACACATAATAATAATAATTTAGGTATTGATATAAATTTTTAATATTGATCTACACATTATGATTTTATGTTATCTCAATTTTTATGAGAATAAATCTAATTCTCATAGAAAAGGGTCTATTTCTACGCTAACACTGGTGAAATTTGTCGAGAGAATAACAATAATTTTTTTTTACTTGTCCCCTCCAAAAATACTCCAGAAATTTTGGGCAATAATTGAGAATACCTCTTTTCAACTAAATAAAATTCTCTTTTCCACTATTTTTTATGTAATTTTATTTGCTTTTACACAAAATAATATAAGACCACCATATTTGTAAATGAATATTCTTTCTTATAATGAAAAAATATATGAAAATAGTAAGTTAGATAAATAAATAATCTACAGATTATATGAATTACAAGACATAATTAAGTAGAACAACAACAAATAAAGAATTAAGGGGTTATAAAAGTTATAAAAAGAAATTATAGCCACTAACTGGGAGTCAATTTGCACATATATAATGCCCGACGGATTAATGGAAAATGCTCCACAATATGACAGCACTTTGACATAATAAAATATTAAAAATAAAATGTTGCAGCACTTTGGGATTGTCACGTATTAATTTTTATTTTTTTTAAATGTCACTTAACCCAACACACTACAAAAATCTCATGTCATTTGAAAGAGAAATGACAAGTAGAATGAAAATGATCCTTTTAAGGAGAGACGTATTCAAAATTTTAAGAAGATGAATATATTGTAATTTATACTATATATTGATATTAAAAAAAGAATTGAGTCAAAAAAATCGTATATTAAATTTGCAACTTCGATCAAGCTAATCGGTAAAAGCCTAAAAGGCAAATGAAATATTTGACTTTTCAGAAAAACTCGTTAATCGGTAAAAGGGCAAATTTTAGCATTAATATTTGGAAAAACGAATGAAAGTAATAGAATAGGAAAAATAATAATATAGGAGATAAATAAATCATCTAAAACAACTAAAAATGTCATATTACTATTTAGTGGATCCGGCTCCTCTCCATTTTCTTCAAGTTCCTATTTGGATTAATGACACATGGCATAGGTTAAAATAAATGACTAAGATTTAATTTTCCAAAGTAAATCTCTAACCATGATTTAACTAATAAATTTATTATATATTTAATTTTAAAAATTACTATAAGCCCCCACAATCTTAACAACATATTATCTTGTTCATAAATTTAGGGGGAAAAAAGTTTTCTTCCTAATTTTTTTTACTTAGGATGTTAATTTAATTTTTTTTAAAGTTAATATTTTTATTGCATTTTTTCATTTTAACCAGCTATTGAAGAGTTTTATTTTTCCTAATTTATTTCACCTTTTCTTTTTTCTATTTCCTCCAAAATTAACATTAGTTATATTTGGCAGCACAATATTTAAAAGAAAATTAAAAAAATCCCACGTAAAAGAAAAGTAATTAGGAAGAACTTTTTTCCCTATATTTATGGAAAAGATAATATATTGCTAAGATTGTGAGATTATAATAATTTTTAATACTAAATATATATTATATTTATTAGTTAAATCATGGTTAGAGATTTACTTTGAGAAATTAAATCTTAACCATTTATTTTAACCTATGCCATATTCACGTGAATCTGGATTATTTAAGCTTTAATGCGAATATGAAACATTAAATAAAAAATAAAAAATAAAAAATAAAAAATAAAATAAAATGGTGCCTTGAAGCAACAGTTTTGCATTATTGTAATTTGTATCCCAAAGTCACTTGGGCTAAGTGTATTTATACTGCTATTGTAGGAAAAAATGGCACATCATAACAGCCCAAAGTGACTTTGGGCCTCCAATAATGCAAAACTGTCTTGTTCTTTTAAGTTTTGTCACAAATTAATATTTGGACAAATTACTTAATTACACTCCTTTACTTACCTTAATATCCATTTATCCCTACTTATTTCAAAATCTTCAAAAATCCCTTATTTACCTATGTATCCCGCATGTATCCCGTGCACAACGCTATGTATCCCCGCTATGTGGAATGTATCAAACGTTATGTATCCCCGTGCACAACGCTATGTATCCCGCTATGTGGAATGTATCAAACCTAATGTATCCCGTGCACAACGCTATGTATCCCGACTATGTGGAATGTATCAAACCTAATGTATCCCGTGCACAACGCTATGTATCCCGCAAACATCATTTTTAAGGGATTTTTGGTAAATAGAAAACTAGAAGGGATTAGGATGTTATTTAGTACTTATAGTATGTGGTTCCTATAATTTATACTTAATATTTTAGTTCAGGAAAAAAAAATAGTAACATTCGCACTTTGAAATCAATAAATACATTTGTTGCGATACTTTTTCGTTCTTGATTATTATTTTCTTGATGTGAATTTTACTGTCAACAAATTCTAACATGCCCATATTTATCAATAAAATTGTGTTTCTTCATATTTTATTGTGATTGCAATATATTTTCTGTCAAGTTAAAAAATGTGTTGCAAACAAATTGACACGACCAGTGGGACCAAATCTCTCCTTCATCTCTTCTCTCATAGATCAAATCTGCAAATTTGAAGTCACAAAACCGCAAAGGTGGAAGAATGAGTACTTCAAGATTCGTCTTTGAGTTTCATCAAGTCTACACTCTGACAAGTCTTGAAGCAGGGGGATTTGTAGACATTAAAATTTTATGGGACTCTACAAGACGTGTTCAATTCGAGTTAAGACTCTACAAGGTGTGTTTAATTCCAATTAGATTCTTGGAGGCTACTCAACCCTAAATCCTAGTTCATGCCTATATTAAGGGTAATATATTCCCTTGAAAAGACATCTTGAATATTCCACAAATTCATGAAATATTCATAAAGAGATCAAATCCAAATCATCCTAATTCGATAAATACGCCACTAACGCCCTCGAATCATAGATAAATCTTATGAAAGAAGAATCAAGGGAGGAACAAAATTATAACTACATATTTATCAATAAAGTTGTGTTTCTTTATATTTTATTATGATTGTATTGCAATTTATTTTCTGTCACGTTAAAATTTGTTGCAAACAATATGTTGTAAATTTGTTTGCTTCCAATTTGTCCGAAGTTAAACTTTGACAAACCAAACTTCAAACGTATATATTTCAAATTCAGACTCACACATCTTAAATTATTTTACAACGACTAAATTTTTTTTTTTTTTAAAAACTTAAATGTTCTTTTGTGTCTCAATAGGAGCCCATATTTTTATTTTTAAAATTCTTGCCTTAGCTTAATACACCTTTTAAGAAAAAAATATTGTTGATATGTTTCAATCAAACTCCTAGATGTCTTCACTATCCCAATTTGTCATTTAATGCCTTAGACAAAATAAGCTAAGGTGTAAAATGTTTCACTCAAAGTGGAAACACAAGAATAACTACCAAATGCCCTTAACAATTCTTGTAACCCACCTAACAAACTTCATTGCTTTATATGTACTCATAGAGCAAATTAAATGGATTAATCATGGTGATTAATGATCTTATATGCACTGCATTAAGCTAATTATTATACTCCATATAACAATGTTGGTTTTGTATGTGAGCAGGTGGGAGGATGACTTAATTATTGGCTTTCTTAGTATTGCAATCATGATTAAACTTCTTAAAACAAAAGGATGAGAATCAATTCTACTTATGATATCTCAATAATTAATTTGTTTATGTAGTAGAGTTCAACCAATTAATCCATAGTAGTGTAGTAAGTTAGGGATTGTTCAATGCATAATATATTCACATGAGATCCTCATTAATCCCTAACAAATTCAAAACTATCTCCTCTCTAAAGAGTTCTTTCCATATATTTTTTTTTATAATCGTGGTGTCTGATCAGCTTACACGCACCTCAATTAATACCATAAATACATAAGTTATATCCTAATAATACAAGTATCATGTAATTTTCTCCACCAAAACGTGGATAAATGAGAAAAAATCATTCAATATTTTTCCGCCTTAGCTAGGATTTTTTTTCAATTTATTTCTTACTTTTTGATTCTTTAGACTATTATGATAGTGATTACTAGAAATGATAGAAAGCAAAGTTTCTCTCTTTAATATCTACAATGCATTGATAGTACACATAATCTGGTAATTTTAATTCAATTTTTTCTATGTTTAAACCTTAAACAGCTATTAACGCGAACGAAAACAGTGTTCTAGCAACTAAATGAAAAAAAAACCCCACTAAAACATGTGGCATGTGATGTCGTGGATGAAGTTGTTTTTCGTTGAGTATTGAATACGAAAAAATATTCAGTAGAAAATACTGTCAATCTTTATATAAATTTGAATTAATCGAACTTCAATACTGACGCACATAGAGTTTGAAAAAAATTAAATAAAAATACAATCACCTAGAACCACAACCGCTGCCATCAACGGTTGGTATGAAAAGAAAGAGAGACTGAGACATTTTTTCTGTATATATAAATCTGAACCCAAAACTTATACGGTAGCTAACGACGTCGTTCCGTCCACCCCACCCC